TGGGCATGTGGGATTCTATGGCATTCTAATACATTTGAAGTCTTTCACAATAAAATGTCGAAAAAATTAAAAGTTGGGAAAAAAAAAAGGATGGAGAAGACTTACCCTGCTGGATATCCTTCATTTCTAAGTGCAAACTAGATATCAAGATTCCCACAGTTTGAGATCGTTTTCCATCCAATAATTTGATGATCTGGAATTTAAAAATAAAATTAACACAAGCTCAAATGACCACACAATCTTTCAGACGCATATCAAAAACAGTAAGATTTTTAGATGCTTTGATTGATGAACTAAACTGATGCTATAGTCACTCTATTTTAACAACGTTTTAATTTGAGAGTAACTTATGCACGACTATAGATATTTTAGAAAACAAAGGAAAAACACCACTCTAAATTCCACCAGCCTGATACAAACACTAAAATCTTTGTAATATTTTACTCCAATCTTTTTATTCAAACACATTTGAACTAAGTTGCAATTGCAACATATGTGCAAATTATATCCAACATTTTTGCTTATCATTAGCATATTTCCAAGTTGCTACTTTTTAAGTCACTTCATAGCCTCCATTCTTTTAGGCTGCATCATCTGATGAGTGTTTTAGGGGAAATAATCAATGTGATTTTGACTCAGCAGTTTTGCTTTGGAAATGTGACTAACCGCTAGGAATTCAACTTCTTAGTCATGAAGTAGGGCTAACTGTACTTAGCTTGTACATTTATTCTAAAAAATTAAGTAACAACGTATGTAAAGCACCTAATATAGTTCCTGACATAGATTATTTAAATAAGTTTGCCCTGTTTTAGAGAGTAAGGTTGTTTCATATTTGTGCTATTATTAATACAAGCAATATAATAGTTTAATTTTAAATTGTTTAAAAGTGTTCTTTTACAATATTATATATGTATAGCAAAACTTATGCAATTTTTTAAGAAACTTCAAATACCTCACTGCCAATTATTTCAATCTCTATGACTATTCCATGGAGAGGTCTTCATACTTTTGTGTTTCTCCAAACCTAATAAGCTAAATCAGTTCCTAAGAACATATCACACAGCGGTCACTAAGGGAAAAAAGTTATCTTTTCTCTCATGTAGCATGGTTACAAAAACAATATGACATGCACTTAAAACATCACCCAATCTTATGTTTTTAAATTCACTTTCCAGTGTAAAATACAAACCAAACTAAATAGTTATGCTTCCCCCCTTATGTAGTTGCTTATAAACTTACCAAAATATAATGAAGACAAGATTAAACAGTAACTAACGCCTACATGAATATTGGTACTACACTAGCTGAGCTGCTTTCTGGTTGAACGGTAAGAGATAACATGTTTGTTCCAACTGACATCGCCTAATTGTGCAAATTGTCTAATTGCCTATCTATCGATCAATCCTGAATCCTTTACTGCCAGCCTTTTCTCTTTCCTTCTTTGTTTTCTTCCTCTGCTCAGAATGACTACTTTCATAGAACTATTAGACCTAAAATATAATGAATACCAAGCTTTCCTCAAGATATAAGGAAAATCTGATTTTTCAATCTAAGTAATGTGCTTAAGGATTTCAATATTTGTCTTAGAGAAAAATTTGGGGGGATACAGAATTTCAAGAGTTTTAAAAGAAACAAAGAAGGTACTTAGTATTTTTATTTATTTATTTTATATGAAAGCAAAAGTAAAGGAGGAAGAGATTATGTATAATCAAATATCGTCTTTAAAAAATGCAATTTCTGGCTTTTTCTTAAATAGAGAACACAAATTCAATGTGAAATGATTTTTAAAAGTCCAAGACAGAATTAAGGAAATCCACATAAGTTGGTTTTTTTATAAAGATTTTATTGGGGAATTGGGGGAGGGGAACTATGTTGGGGAATTGGAGAAGGGGACCAGCCAAGTTGTTCTTCAGTCTTCATTGTAGAGGGTGCCAGTCGCCATCTGGCTTCCTGTTGGCAGCTGTGGCCTCCTAAGCTCAGGGTGCTGTGTTCAATCTTAGTTGCAGGTGGGCGTAGCCACCATCCCATGTGGGAGTCAAACCAGCAGACTTGTTGTTAAGAGCTCACGCTCTATCCACTGAGCCATCCGGGCGGCAGCTCAGCTCAAGGTGCCAAGTTCAGTCTTAGTTGTGGGCAGGCGTAGCCCACCATCGAACAGGCAATCTTGTTAGACCAGCTGAAATATCCAACCACCTGTTGGCAGCTAAGTGACAGCTCACTCGGGCGCAGGTCACTGGGCCCATGTGGGAATTGAACCAGCAGCCCTGTTGCTCAGAGCTCGTGCTCTTAAGCCAACTCTTAACCAACTGAGCAACTCGGCCAGACCTCCACATAAGTTTAATGTAAGTATTCATTCAGTAAATATCGGCCCTGCATCTGCTATGGCACTGTCCTCGGCTCTGGGGATGCAGAGATGACGGAGGCAGACCAAGTCCTCGTCCTCATGGAATTTGTAGAACTTACTGATTTACAAAATCACTGTGATAAAATTGCTGAAAAGAACCAAAAAGGCAAATAAAACCATTGCCTGAACTAACTGCAAAGCAAATTCAAAAGAAGAAAAAGATTTGAGAATTGACGAGATTTATTCTTAAATGCCCCGGATAGTGACTGATATAACCTTGGCCATGATACACACATCAGTGTCAGGGAGATAAGCACAGGAATCAAATTTATGACAAGGTCACAACTGGGTAGTAGACATTTCTTCAAACATTCCCCGAGTTATTCAGTTAGGATTCTGAAAACCGTGGGTAACACATTCTACTTACAGGGAAGACAAAGATCAAATCTAGTTTTTCTAATAGCTAATTAAAAGAAGGCCAGGCAGGAACCACAAGAGAAGAGAAGAGAGGAGAGGGGAGGCTAGGAGAGGACAGGAGAGAAAGAAAGAGAGAAAGAAAGATTGAGATTGGCTGTCACTGGGGGGGGGGGAAGCAAGTCTATCCCCACTTTATTGTTCAACCAGAGTGAACTGTGGAAAGAGTGTCACCACCGTAAGCCATCCTTGCAAATTTGTCTGATGACTTGGCATGGCAGGTGTTTGTAGAGTGTCTGTTACCTTTAACTTAGCTAAAACCATAGGAGTTTTTTTGAAATACAGTGCTGTATCGAAAAAAGGTGGGTAAACAGTGGTAAAGTCAAAGCATTTGTATTCTCTTCCCTATTTGTGTCAAATTCTTTACCTCTCACTAGATGTCTAAAATAAACTTCGGAGTTTCCACATAGTCTTTTTTCAATTGTGAAATAACACCAGGTTTCTCAAAACCTGCTAACATGTTAAGAACACAATGGACACTGAATATATGATTATGTCCTAAGCCCGCTTAGTTTCTTTTATTTGCCATAGATTGCAAGAATAACACAAAAATTATCCTCTAAACAAATTTTTAAATATACAGTACAATGTTGTTAACTATGTGCACATTGCTGTACAACAGATCTCTAGAATTGTTTTCATCCTGCAGGGCAGAAAGTCTAGGCCACTGGACAGCTACTCCCCACTTCCTTCCCCACCCCCAGCCATGGCAGCTTTCTGCTTCTATGCGTTTCACTACTTTAGACATCTCGTATAAGTGGGATCATGCAGCACTTGTCCTTCTGTGACTGGCTAATTTCACTTAGCATGATGTCCTCAAAGTTCATCCACAGTGTAGCATGTATCAGAATTTCCTTCCTCAGGCTGAATACTATCACACACACACACACACACAGGATGTAAAAAATATATATACACATTTTAAGAAAGGAAAAAACTGTATTAAAATTACACTGATGGTAACCATTTTGAGCACTTCTTGTAATTGCAGAAGTCAAACGTGACGTATTCAACTTTTGTTATCGGTATATTTTGAGTATTACAATTTTTAATACAGTTTTTCTTTCTTAAAATGTGTATACATTTTTTGGCACCCTCTGTACACACACACATACACACACACACACACACACAACCCCACATTGTCTTTATCCATTCATCTCTTGATGGACATTTAGGCTATTTTTATTTCTTGGCTATTGTGAATAATACTGCAATGAATATGGGAATACATGTAACTCTTGGAGATCCTGTTTCAATTCTTTTGGACAAATACCCAGAAGCGGGGTTGCTGGATAATGTGCCATTTCTATTTTTAATTTTTTGTGGAACTTACATACTATTTTTCATAGTAGTTGTACCATTTTACATTTGCACCAATGCACAAGGGTTCCAATTTCTCCACATCTTTACTAACACTTATTTTTTTGTTTTTCTTTTTTTAGTTTTTTTGATAACAGCCACCTAAAAGGTGTGAAGTGATGCCGCATTATGGTTTTGATTTGCATTTCCCTGATGATTAGTGATGTTGAGCATATTTTCATATACCTGCTGGCCATTTGTATGTCTTCTTTGGAGAAGTGTCTCTTCAAGTCCTTTGCACATTTTTAAATTGGGTTTTTTTGTTTGTTTTTGATGAGTTGTGGGAGTTCCTTACATATTTGGGGATATTAACACCTTATCAGATATATGGTTTGCAAAAATTTTCTCCCATTCCCTAGGTTGCCTTTTCACTCTGTTGATGGTTTCCTTTGCTATGCCGAAGCTTTTTAGTTTGATGTATTCCCATTTGTCTAGTTTTGCTTTTGTTGCCTGTGCCTTGGTGTCATATCCAAGAAATAACTGCCAACAGCAATGTTATGAAGTTTTCCCCCTATGTTTTCATCTAGGAATTTTATCATTTCAGATCTTATATTTAAGTCTATAATCCATTTTGAGTTGATTTTTGTTTATGCTGTAAGATAAGGGTCCAATTTTATTCTTTTGCACATGGATATGCAGTTTTCCCAACACCATTTATTGAAAAGACTATCCTTTTTGGAACATTCTATCGTCTTGCCACATTTTTTGAAGATTGTTTAACAATATATGTGTAGGTTTGAATTCTGTTTGTTGGTCTATAAGTCTGTATTTATACAAGTACCATACTGTTTTGAATTCTGTAGCTTGTAATATTTTGAAGTTAGGAAGTGGAGGATGATATCAAAAAAATTACAAGGAAAAAAAATAAAAGTAAAGAGAGGGTTAAAAAATAAAGGGTAGAATAAATATGAATTTTTAAACATCCTTATTAGGTCCAACATGCAAAATAACTAAAATGAAGAACGCAGAAGAAAACAACCCATTAAACTATTAAACAGACCAAGTAAGAGTTC